GGGACAGAAATCTGCCTAGAAAAGAGAGGAGGTGGAGCTGAAACACATACCTTTCTCAGCAAGTTACAGGGTGTCAGTTTGTAGTGACTACCGTCACCAGATAGTTTACTAGGGTAGGGACGATGTTCCAGTTAGTAAGTTGTCAGTGTGCAAAGTAGCAAGTCTTCTGAAAATTCCAGGATCTGTAGTTGTACCTGGCAATATGTGGACTCACACCAGCTGTGAAGAAAAGCAGCACAAAATGGAAGAGTCCCACAGATTTATCAAGGGATGGGGGGCCCTCAATATCCAGAGCCATTCTTACCCTCAGTTTGAATCAAAATAAGACCTGTGTTTCTGTCATAGCCTTGGCTACCTTCAAGTCAGGCTATGCTTCTTTCAGTTTTCATTATTTTCTGCTGCTTACGCTTTAGCTGCATCCCTTTCTTCTGGGATGAGATATCTGTTATTAAACTGTGAATAATATGCTACTCAAGAGGCAGACTCTGATGACCCATCTGTGCAGTGAGATTGATGTGCCTTCTGTTTTGTGCCAGAGTCCCTTACAATCCACAGTGTACACATGACTTTGTCTAGAAGTCACTATGCAAAAAAAGCCCTGCATCTCTTTGGCCATGAAAAAGCTTCCCTTTATCATGCAGCATGTGACACATGGAGGAGTCCAGGATTTTGGCCAACATCTGCGAAGGCCATATATGATTTTGTCAACAGGAAAATTTCCTAGGAACAGCTTGCATCTGAAGTGCCTAGAGGTGGATGCACGTGTTGGTGGGAGGGAGAAGAGAGGAGGCTCAGAGGCTGTGCTTAGGTGAGTGATACAGTGGCAGGCGGAGGACAAGCATCAGTGGTAGATGCTGCCTTGAGCTGGAGGGATTTTGTAGAATTGCCTCACTATTCCGCACAGAAAGGCAATTGTAGAGTGATAAACATATGCCTTAGTTGTTTGTAAAGCAGCAGTAGTTATATGGTGCACAGAAACAAGCCTGAGTTTCTGACAGCTGCACATAGTCCCTGCATGTGCGACTGCAATGTTAGGCGGTGCGCCTGCTCCTCCAGAGGAATTTTGTCCTTGCCAGGTATTCACAGCTCAGTGTGCACAACGCTGCCCCTCCACGCTCCCCCTGGTCATACCATCTGTTGTAGGAGCAGTTTCAAAACATCACATCAAGCCACATTTCTGCAGGGGCACCTTGACTGGTTTCATGCTTTCCACCATGACCTCCTGAAGCAAGAAGATGGGAAAGGGGAGGGATGTGAGGGATCAAAAACTGCAGGAGCTGGTTGGATGCTGATGCAAAATTTGTTCCAGGTGGCCGAAGCTTTGCCTGTCACAGGGGAGCTGGGGCAATGGAGTGAGAAACTATTAAGGGAAGAGAGTAGTGAGGTGGCAGCCACCCTAACCTCAGTTTGCCACAGTCACAAGTGGCAGCATCTGCTGGGAAGAATTCCTCTGGTTCTTACATTACAGACTCCTGCAGGCCCTAAATCCTTGTGTCTGTTTCTTGGCTTATTTAGCATCTCCATCTGCCATTATGTTGTTTGTACAGACCTTTTCTTTTGTTACATTGTTTGATCTTTGATTTTTCAATTGTAAACATATACATAGCAGTGTTTGTACAGCTGAAGCTACCCATCCTCTCAACACAGTAGATTTCTGCTGCTTCCTTGTCCCATTGCAGATTACATCTGTATGCTGGGACAGGCATCTTGCCACAGGGACCCACACAGGCTGTGCTTAGAGACAGGCACACATGATCCAGGGCAGTAGCAGAAGGCACAAGGTGTGGTTAATACAGCAGCGGAAGAGCCTCTTTGGGAGGGAGGTTTCTTTGAGATGGGACTGCAGGGTGATAGGCAGCATCTTCATGAAAGGGAAATTCTGCTTATAGAGTTGGAGAAACCTCTTGCTTTGAACATCTTGCCCAGAACATGGGGAGACCACAGTCCCCAGCCTGGGCCTGTCTGGCAGGTGCTTGGGGGAGGAAGATGAGGCTAAGGAAAGAGGGGAAAGAAGAAGGACATACATGGCTCCCAGGGAAGGTGAGGTTTGAGTCACGGGAGCTGAAGAAGGAAGAAAACCTTGAGGGAAGTAGGAGTGAAGCACTGTCTGTAACCAGACAGGGCCTCCACCGTTATACTGGTATTTTCCAGGTATGGTGCTGCTGGTCCTTATGCAAATGCTTTCCTTGTCTTTTTTCTTTCAGCTTGTGAGCTGCATCCCCTGCTTGAAGGAGTAATGGCTGTGTAAGAGTGGCAGGGAGGGCCCCATCCCACTGCACCTACTGCACAAAAGGATCCCCCTCAGGCCTCACACAACTTGGAGAAGATGTAATGGGATGCAGTGTGATGGGTGATACGGGGCATGCTGTCATCCAGCCTGTCCCTCAGTAGTCCCATAATCTCTGTTCTGCAGGCGTGCAAGGCCCAGCTGAAATCTCCATCTGGATTTTGACTGGAGATCAATCATAAGGGCCTATACAGATGGTGTGGCTGTGATGCAGATGGATGCCCTGACGCCATCAACAGCCACATCCTCAGGGAGGAGAGTCTGCTCGCCCGGCTGTAGGGAGAAATGCCAGAGTTCTGGAAAACACCAACAAAACCTACTCAGCTGGGGAAGCTCAACGTGGTGACTGTGAGTCATCACCTAAAGTCTGTTTGTCCCTGCAGTACCAGAAAATTTCTCTTCTGAATAGCGTGTCTGTAAGTCAGCTCCATCTGACTTGCATCTCATCCAACGTCCTCCTACAGCTGGGAAATCCAACCTAGGCAAACAAGCCTCATGGAGGCTGGTAGTGTGGACCAGGCAGGGACAGAGGATTTGGAAGACAGCTGTGTGCTTGACCAAGCTGACCACAGCCTTGCCTGGCATGAAGCAAGTGCCCACCAGCCACAAGGAACCCAGAGCGAGCAGGCTCCATAGGCAAGGATGGCCCCTGGGGCTCAGGAGCAGCGGAGGAGGTAGTGTGCCAACACTGGCAGTACCCTATGACGCTGTGTAACCTCTTGTGCCCTGGGGTAATGCGTCTGGGTGAGGAAATTGCACTCTTCATAAGCTCCCAGGCTTCTCTAATGAGAAGAGATTTGGGTCCATTAGCAACTATTCCACATACTAAAGACCTGCTGGAGCCAATGCCTGTCCCCACAGGGCTGGCTACTTTGACTCCAGTACACACATTCTTCAGCAAACCTTGCATTTTGTCTAACTTGACAGGGCATTGTGTCTACCATTTCTTGATGTTACGTCAATCAAATTCTCCCTCTGCACAAACATTATGTTTAAATGGCAGTTTTCCTTCTGTTCCTGCTACCATCAGTCTTCTGACTTACCGTACTGGGGAAATACATTTTTTTTATGATACATAGACCGTGAGTCTTGGCATGCTGCCTCAAGCAACCTGGGGTGGGAGAGGGCGAACATTGCAGGGAAATGTGCTTTATAAAGAATTTTCACAGTAGCAGAAGTGGTGCCAGGAACTTTCCTGTCTTGTGCAATAGGCATCAGCATGCAAAAAGAGCCACTGCAGCAGAAAACAGAACCAGCTGTGGAATATGTTGTAGGAAGGACTAAAAGTACATTTCCTATTTAATCAGTTCAATTGATGGCAGATCCAAAGTGGAGCTAAGAATTGTATGAAACCCCAAACTTCTGCTGATTTGTGTTCCCTTCTCTTTCCTCTTTCCCATGAAAAGCTGTAACTTTTAAGGTGAGTGGCACATGCTATTAATTTTAACTAGAGAACACTGTTCTGAGTCACATCCCAAACACTGCCAGCCATAGCAGCCTGAAACAAATTAAAAAAAAAAAAAAAAATTTAAGAAGCCCATGCTTACAAGGCTGGGGTGGAAACAAACATGAAACCCGATTCTTACCATACAGTTCAGCTCTTTGTCCTTGCAAACAGATCAAATTCTAGTCACAGTGAGTACTTGTCCCTTTTTTTTCTTAATTGAATTTATTATTGTCCTATCCCTTCGTCCATCCCGTACTCTAATCTCCTCCAAGCCCCTTTTTTAGTTACTGCTTTTACAATTCAAAAGCTTACATAGTGATTCAGGAAATCTCTACAAACAGCTTGTGATTTTTTTTATGAAATCTCTTATACAACAGTTTTCAGATCTTAATGAGGTCAGTCAGCTTTCCGATGCAGAACTGCGTTACGCATTTTCTGGACTAAGGACAAGGGACATTATTAATTGATGACTGCTGTAATGTAATCCCATTCAAACAGGTGGTGGGTGGACTGAAACTACAGGTTTTTTCCAGCTTTTTTGGAAAGAGCTGAGGTTTTCCACAAGAGCAAAGATAGTGGTAATGCTGTTATACAGCTCAAAATAATTGCAATAGTGACAAAAAGGCATAGCCTCTTGTCTATGGGAGAAGGGAAGGGAGATACTTTTGACTGCAGGAAAAAGCACAATCTGAAGAAGCTGGATAAAAGACTGCCTGATTATGAAGAAAAAGCCATCATGAGGGAGTGGCACGTGAGAGGTTACCTGCAACTCCTTCTGCCAGGAGAACAGACACTGACTCAATTCCCAAAGAAACATTGCAGAGATTTCCACAATTGTTTTGGTCTGGATCCAAGTACATCTTCTGTTGTCCTAATAACAAGCGTATTAGGACCATTTACAAAAGCTTTGCCTGTTCACTATATTATTACGGTCTTCCCAACGCCCATCTTGGAGCTGAGATACTGCTGCCCCATTGCTTAAGCTACACAGCTGCTTCAGTACAGTCTCCTAGTAGGTGCTCAGGTTGTGATTTATGCCTGCAGGGACAGCTAGCAGAAGCAGTGTATATAAAGCATCTTAGCCACAGGGAATGCCTGGACTCCAATCAATTTGCAAACCAAAAAGACAAATCCAGTGTCTTACAACTCAAAGCAGCAGATAAATATTTACCAGTTGGATTATCAGGATTGTAAATTAGCATCCCTCACCCTATGCTTTTCATATAGTTTGAAAACAACATTATTCATTTGACCACAACAGGCAAGAACCTTGTATCAATTTTTATTATTATAAATACTATGTTAGAACAGAAAGGATGGTGCCGTGCATCTGCTCCATTCTGCTGCTATTTCGCATCTTCTTTCTTGGCTCCTGCTTCTATTTTCAGGGGTTCTGGAGCTGCACGATAGGCAGGAAATGCCTCCCAAGGACTATTCAGATCAAACTTGCGAAATTCCTGAGATAGCTCCACAGGCTCTGCCACTACCCGTTTCACTTCATCATCATACCGCACCTAGAACAGAGCAAAGAACACAGGCCGGTGATTTTCATACAGTCCCCGTAGCATCTCTGCTATTAGCTGTACACAGTAATGACCCAGACCACCCTCTGGTACAGGCAATCCTCATTCTTATCCCATGGATAGTCCACAGGCCTCTGCCATGGCTTCAGTTCTCCTCATTATTAAACAAGAGCCCTCCAGATGCCACCAAGACCTCTGGATTCTCCAGGAAAACCCTCCTCTTTGCTACCACATACCTGTGTCCTGACTAACCACCCTGAATTAGGAGTGCCCAGCCTACAGTCCATATGAAGTCCACATGGAATAACACATTTAGTTTGTCATATGACAAAGAAATTTCTCCTGAGTCACTGAAATAAGGTGGCCCGTCCACCTGGCATAGCTGGGGGCTACTCTCATGAATCTTTGTAATACCACAGTTTGTTTGGTTTCAGTTGTGCTTCTTAGCATAACACTCAGAACACAGGACAAAAAGACAACCAGGGTGAAATGCAGGTGAGTACCAGACACTTCTGACTGTCTTGATTTATCCTCCCTGTGCCAGTCCAGATCTCCAAAGCACAGCTCAGGAGATGCTGCCTGGTCCTCACTCAGGATTTGCTGTTATTTCTATTTTTCTTAAAACCCTCTGTTGCTGGCAGAACCTCACTGTTTTCTCCTCAGACTCAACTCAGTCTTAGAACTGCACCAAATATGACTGCTTCTGCAAGGCGGTCATTTGAAACTAGACAGATACCAAACACACTCATTTCACTTGTGGTTTGACATACAGAGGTAAATATTTGATAAATGGCAAGAGTCAGTTCAACTAGAGTTTTATAATCTGAGCCTACAAAAACTCAACGAAGTGGAGTTCCAGCTGCATTAAGATCAGTTCAGTCCTTTATTCCTCTGGGAATCTCCAGTTTTGCAGTGGAAAGTTTAATCTTCCAGAAGACATGCTAAAAGCAGAAGCACTTTCTCTGCCTGACAAATTTCTTAGGTATACAGCATATGAAATTTGCTCAATGCCTCTGGCCTTAGGGTGCCTTATTACAGATGATACTTGGTGATGACTTCAAATTTCCATGCAGGAGATCTATACAACTCCTCCGGAATACAGGCAAACGAAACATCCTTAGTGCCTTTCGGACAAAGGATTGTAAAGCAGTCACATCTCTGTACCGAAACTCAGATCATAGAATCATAGAACAGTTTGGTTTGGAAGGGACCTTTAAAGGTCATCTAGTCCAACCCCCCTGCCATGGGCAGGGACATCTTCAACTAGATCAGGTTGCTCAGAGCCCCGTCCAACCTGACCTTGAATGTGTCCAGGGATGGGGCATCCACCACCTCAACCTGTGTCAGTGTTCCACCACCCTCAGCGTAAAAAATTTCTTCCTTATTCCTTATCTAAATCTACCCTCTTCTAGTTTGAAACCATTACCCCTTGTCCTATCACAACAGGCCCTACTAAAAAGTCTGTCCCCATCTTTCTTATAAGCCCCCTTTAAGTACTGATAGGCCCAGGCTGTATTGATACTGGGGGTTGCCCCGACCCTGGTGCAGGACCTTGCACTTGGCCTTGTTGAACCTCATGATGTTCACAAAGGCCCACTTCTTGAACTTGTCCAGGTCCCTCTGGATGGCATCCCGTCCCTCAGGCATGTCAACCGCAGCACTCAGCTTGGTGTCATCTGCAAACTTGCTGAGGGTGCACTCAATCCCACTATGTCATTGATGAAGATATTAAACAGTACTGGTCCCAATATGGACCCCTGAGGGACACCACTTGTCACCGATCTCCATCTGGACATCAAGCCATTAAGAGGTAAGACTATTGGAGAGATTTGATAACTTTAGACATAAGCATATCTCCTACCTCCACATAACCAGAGAGTGGAAAGTCCTTCCGGAAAGGATGGCCCTCAAACCCATAGTCTGTGAGGATTCGCCTTAGATCAGGGTGGTTGGCAAAGAAAACACCGTACATGTCCCAGACCTAAATGAAAGGGAGCCAAGTAATTTGGATTAGAAAAAAAAACCCCACCCCTTCATGTATTATGTCCACAAAATTTCAGTTACATGCCTGGCTTTGTGCAGTGCCAGCGAAACTGACACAGGAACTCACTCAAAAGCAAATCAAACACCCTTTTATCTCCTATTCTGAAAAGGCAGCCAGGGAAACACTTCTCTCTTTCTTCCTCAGGGCCCTGGGAATCAGTTTAATCAGGAAAACACAGCCCCTCTCCACAAAGATTCTGCTCCCAAGTGCAGTGGCACTCACCTCTCTTTCATACCAGTTGGCTGCCTTGTGCACAGACACTGCTGAGTCAACAGGTGTCAGCTCATCAGTATATGTCTTCACGCGGATCCGACTGTTGAACCGCAGAGACAGGAGATTGTACACAATCTGAAGCAGAATAAAAGAAGCCATTGGTCTTGTACAGCATTTATGGATCTCTTAGCAGTACAGTACTGGCAAGCAAACGCACACAAAGACTATTTCAAATATTCTGTATCGGCAGAATCACATTCAGCACTTCAGAGCTGGGCACTAAAAGACACTATTACAACTGACGTTCCAACAGCTTACCACTTTGATCCTTAGAAGTGTAACAAAAAGGATGTGAGATTTAGAAAACATGACCGATGAAGAAGAGCTGAAGTAAAGAGGGATACTAAATCTTAAAAGAGAACACTGAAAGGATGGAGACACTTGACAATAGCCTTTCCATAGTCTGTCACAAAGAAAATGGCTATCAGTTACTCTCAGCATCCAGTGGGAGAAAGCTAAGAAGAAATACACTTAATTTTCAGCAAAGAAGTTGGATACCAGGGAAAATTTCTAGCTCTTCTGGTGATGAAATACTAATAAAAAGGCTGCTTATGAGGATTACTAGAACCTCCGGGGGGGCGGTGAGGAATACTTACTACAAGCAGACTGAAAAAAAACCCCAAACCTTTGTAAGAAATTGTGTAGCCTTGTTTGATACTGCTTCTGTGAAGATAGCTGGAAAAGGTGAATTCATTAAGGTCTGTATTTATATTATTTCTAGGAATCTACTACCCTGATTTTTAAAAGAAAAATCCTGAATTAAAAAATCTTCAACATCTTCAGAGACTGGAGGCCTTTGAGTTAAAGAAACTCTCTCTACAACTCTCAGGATTTTTGCCTAATCGTGAGTTACGTTACTAAAAGTCAAAGCTGTGCAAAAAGCTATTAGCAAAGCAAGAAGGAACTATATCCTCACGGTATTCAGCCCCCTGAGCTGGAAGACAGGGACGGCGAGCAGGATGAACCCCCCATAATCCAAGAGGAAGCAGTCAATGACCTGCTACGCCATCTGGACGCTCACAAACCTATGGGGCCGGATGGGATCCACCCGAGAGTGCTGAGGGAGCTGGCAGAGGTGCTCGCCAAGCCACCCTTCATCATTTATCAGCAGTCCTGGTTAACGGGGGAGGTCC